GGGGGGGGAGGATCGGGTAGGGGGGAGCGGGGGGGAGATGGGAAGGGATGGGAAGGGGAAACAAAGGAGGAGGCAACAGTGCTTGATAAGAAATGTACTCATTACCTTGCCCATGTAACTGTAACCCCTCTGTACAGTATTTTCACAATAAAAAAAAGAAAAGAAAAGAATAGTTGAGCATCTTCTAATCTTGCTAATAAATATTCTTTGGCAATTTGAGCCAAGAGGATATTGATTCTCTTTGCATTCACAGCTGCTGGATGGATGAATGACCATTCTTCTCTTGAATTTCCAACTACCCAGAGCATTTCCATATGACTTGAATTCCTTCACCAATTTTTAAACACAGTTTTCAGAATCTTGTCTTTTGGTACCTAGAGTGTTTTAAAAACTCAAGAAAGGTGATGCCTAAAACAAACCCCTTATCAGAAAGAGTAGCATTTCAATTGTACAACATTTGAACTGTGCACCTATTATGTGTTGACTTTGTGCTAACTTTAAATGACAAAGATAATTCATACAATATATTATAGATGTATTCCTATGATGAGAGCATTCCTTTGAGGAACTAAACCTTTGAACATGCAGAGGAAAAACAACATAAACTGCTAAACAGGAGAGACAACCTCTACCTCAAGGTTATGCAGAAATTAATAATAGCCTAAAGGCATGGGAAACTGCCCTGGGGCTTTTTGCAAGTAATGACAACCAAAAGAACTAAAAGGAATCTTAGCACTGTTTGTGTGCTATTCGTTCCCAGGTGTATTTTTCTTACAATCAAACCATTTGTCTTTCATTTTCCTGACCCTAATTATTTATTGTACTTTATGTGTTGGTTTCGGTGGTTAGAATGAATATAGTTTGCCAGCTAGCATATTTGAACCCAAATACTTCAAAAACTAAGTTCAGCCTGGGCTTTAGTCTCCTATTTTAATAGCTCCATACCTGTTTTTTTAATAGATAGCTCAATTTATTTTTATTTATTTTATGACTTTTCAGACTGTTTCCTTTAACAGCCAGTTAGGTATCGAGCAAATTAACTTACCAGGGCTCATGCCGCATCCATCATCCAGGAAACACAACATGAATCCACCCTGCAGTTTTTCATTATCCACTGTAAGAGAACGCAGTTATTACTAATAAATATTGGGCTTAATTTGTTCCTCAGAAAGTCCTACTGCTCACATAATTATCTGTCCTCCTCCATTGCAGCCACAGAGTGACAGAGTTATGGCACAGTTACGGAGCTCAGAATGGAGTCTTGGCTACAGCTTCCTAAGAAACTGCAGGGAGAAAATAATCATGCAGCAAAATGGCTTTAAATTAACATAAAGCATCTACACATTAATAAATTATGTATACAGCAGGATGTACCCTGCTCTAGAATTGGATGGGTCCGTTCATTAACTTCAGGTATTTCTTTCCTAAGAGATGGAAAAACATAGATGGAGATGTGACCCCAGGACCGCTCTATCAAACTGATCAACCTTTATGCCCTTTCACCAAAATACTAAACAAATCCAGGCCATTCTGATTAAATTCATCAGGCTCCCTTCTAAGTAGTTAATAGCCATATGAGTCTTTTGAGAGTGTTTTTCTGAAGCAGAAAACGTGCCTCTTGAAGATGAATTGGATTTTTGAAAGTGCTAACTTATTTGAAATCAATTTTAATGATTAAGAGATACCACTAAGTGACACACTATTATGTCTGATTTAAAAACAAACTTTAAAGGTATTATAAAACTAATGAGACTAATTTTAGTACACAAATTCAACAGCTGGATATATCATTCCTATTACATTTCCTTTCTCAATGTGTTATTAATGAGTAATTTCTGTGCAATAATATATTTTTAAAGTATATAACTGAATCAATTTTGACATGTACATGACATATACATGTGATATATATAGACATATGTCACATATAATATATCTAATGGCATATTTATGCCATCATATATATCACATATTATGGCATATGCACACTCATGAATCCACCACCACAACCAAGGCAGAGATTATATCCATAAGTCTATCACCTTAAATGTTTCCTCCTAGTTCCCTGTAATCTCTTGTTCTCCTTCTAATTTCCATCACCTTCAATACCTCCCTAGACAATTACTGATAAGCTTTCTTTCCCTACAGATTTGTTTTCTAGCATGTCTAGGTCAATCTCTCTGTTCACAGACCAATTTGAATTCACATTTAAAAATTAACTAATGTTCAAAATGGCCCCTAAATAACCATCAAGAGGACATACCTAGTTGTGCTAGTTTATTTTATGTTGTTATAATGAAATACCTGAGGCTGTTGATGGAAGCAGATACAGATACAGAAGCCTAAAGGCACAGTGTACATTTTTGCTCAGCTCTGGTAAGGGCCTCATAGTAGATGTCATCACAGTAGTAAGAGCACATGAAGGCAAACATTCCAGAAAGGAAGACAGGAGGCAAAACAGGAACCCAGTTGCACTCTTGGATACACTTCCAGGAGGACTAATTCACTCCATGAGACCAGGCATTAATTCTTCCAAAGACAGGGCCCCAATGACCTAACCACCTCTCCCATAATCCCTACTGCTTAAAGGTTTCACCACATCTCAACATTGGCAAACCAACAATGAAGCTTCTAACATGTCAACCTGTAGGGGGTGAACCATATCCTAATATAGTGCTAATCTTTGGAGTTTGTAGTATAAAAATCATATTCCCACTCTAAAAGTTCCTCCTGGTAATAATCTATGTTCATCCGGGATTGAAAACCACCTGGCCTACCTGGTCTAAGATGAGGCTAGACTAGGTAGAATGCTTGCTTAGCATTCATGAGGTTCAATTCCTCAGTACCACATAAACAGAAAAAGCTACAAATGGTGCTGTGCTCAAGTGGTAGAGTGCTAGCCTTGAGTACATAGACACTCAGGGACAGAGCCCAAGCACTGAGTTCAAGCCCCAGGACCAGCAACAACAAACAAACAAAAAAGCCAACAGGACTCTTTACACTTTCATAGTTCATACATGTACTTTACTAGACTTAACATGTAGTACTTTGCCATGAAGTACTTGACTAAACCTAAAGTACATGTACTATGAATATGTGCATTAAAATACCCATCTGTCGTCTATTTCTCTTTCACACCAATGATGCTTACATTTTGGGGATACAGTTATGTCAGAGATAGGACAAAGCTATCAGCCCTACTCACCAAAGTCAAGATATGTCCTACATTTTCCATGCCAATGGAAAAAGGATGCTAGTTTATTAAAAGGGGCATGATGTATACTAAGCACTTTGATCAATGTCTGGAAATTAATGAGTACTTTAAAAATGTATTTAACCTAGGCACTGGTAGCTCATGCCTACAATCCTAGCTACTCAGGAGGCTGAGATCTGATGATCAAGGTTCAAAGCAGCCAGGGCAGGAAAGTCCATGAGACTCTTACTCTGAAGTAGAGCTGTAGCTCAAAGTGGTACAGCACTAGCCTTGGGTAAAAAGAGCTCAGGCCCTGAGTTTAAGCCCTATGACTGAAATTTTAAAAAAAGCATTCAGGTTAATAAGTAGAGTGAATGAGGATGAATAAATATGGTTGAAGTATTTTGTTTGCATATATTCAAACAGAACATTGAACCCTTTTGAAATTATTTATAAGAAGGGAATAGAGTGTAAAGGAGGGTGATTGGGAGTATGAGGTTGATTCAGATATGTACATGTGCAGTAATGTCACAATAATATCTCCCCTTGTAAAACTAATGTATGCTAATAAAAATGTATTGAAGGCATGTCCATCTTTACCAAAGCTAACACAGAGAAATATAAAACATCATGGTGACATATACTTAGTTTGAATTTTATAGCCCCCTAATTACTTAAAGAAAACTAAAGAGAGAGTCATTTAGGGCCTCAGTAAATCATTTGAAAACTAGTCCAATCTTAGCACCCCAGTACTGTTTTACAGTTTAAGTACTGGCCCTGGTTTGTTTTATTTTATTTTAGTTGAAGAAAAACAATTTTCAATATTGATAACTGCATGGTGGTTTATTACAACAACAACCACAAAAATAGGTAGTTTAAAATCCAAGGCTGAGATGAATGCTGGTGGCTCATGCCTGTAATCCTAGCTACTCAGGAGGCTGAGATCTGGTAATCATGGTTTGAAGCCAGCCCTGGCAAAAAGTTACTGTAAGACTCTTATCTCCAATTAACTACTCAAATCCAGAAGTGGCACTGTGGCTCAAGTGTTAGAAGGTTAGACTTGAGTCCAAAGAGGCTCAGGGACAAGGCCCAAGCCCTAAATTTAAGACCCACAGTCTATCCCCCCTCCGCCCAAAAAGTGGTCGAGGACTAGTCTTGAGCAAAAGAGGTCAGGGACAGAGACCAGGCCCTGAATTCAAGCCGCAGGCACCTGGAATAATAAACACTCAGGAATTTGTAATGGAGTAAACAATTCTTTTTTTGTTTGTTTTCGTTTTGTCAGTCCTGGGGCTTGCACTCAGGGCCTGGTCACTCACTGTCTCTAAGCTTCTTTGGCTCAAAGTTAGCATTCTACCACTTGAGCCACAGTGCCACTTCTAGCTTTTTCTGTTTATGTGGTACTGAAGAATCAAACTCAGGGCTTCATACGTACTAGGCAAGCGCTCTACCACTAAGCCACATTCCCAACCCCTCATGATAATTCTTTAAATGAGAAAATTCTTAGGGCTTTGATTTTAAGTCAGTGGTCAATTCTTGCCTTAAAAGGCCATGGGTTCAATCCTCATGCACAAAAAAGGATAAGGAGATGCTTTTCTTCCTAAACTGTTGACAAAAATCACATCCTCATTGCAAGAACTGGCTTCCCAATCTGAAGTGTCATTTCTTCTTTCTGTGTTCCCATCATACTCTGATTGTCTCCTAGGCAACAGATACCTATCCTGTATAAGATGCTCCCTGACCTATGATGAGTTGACATAGGGAGCTTTCAACTTTATGATAGTGTGAGGGAGATATAAATACAACAAAAACTATACTTCTAATTTTATTATAGTCTTTAAGCATTGATCCCAAGTCAAATTCCCAGGATACTATCTTGTGGCTCTAGGAAGCAACAGGAAACTACAGCCTCTAGTTAATCATGATGGTAAAAGACTAATATTCCATAGTATACTGTGTAGCTAAGCTATAATGTTCTATAATTTAGGTGTATGAAACACATTTTCCACCCACTATCTGTTCAACCTACAGTGGTTTATCAGGATAGAACCCCAAGGAAGCTGACCAACATCTATAATTGGATATGAAAGACAAGGCCTTGTTTTCACCATGAAGAAAGTTCTACTCAGTCCCTAGACTCACTTTTCCTCTGCTTAGATGAGCTTCTCCCCACCCCACCCCCACCCCCATTCCCACTGGTCACTTAGGAAAGAACCAGCTGAGAAGACTCTGTTCAAAGTCTTCTATTCCCTTTTGGGAGTAAGCTGCCCAGAGACCACATGGGGTTACCTCTGCCCAGGGTAGTTTTGAAGAAAACTGAGTACACCCGGCTCCCATAACCCTGAAATTCTAGGGTTTGATCATCTCTTTGCTCTCTCACTGAAACTACCCATTCCAACCTAATACTTAACAGTGGTAGAGGCTGACTCTTTTTTATCTCAAACTTTACAGAACTGAGTGAAATAGAGGGTCAGGCATTTTTTTTTTCAGATTGCCCAAGATGATCATGTATACCTCTCATGTGAACCATAAGTACTCAATGGGCTGAGTATCATAAAGGCTCAGAGGTGTGGACTGAACTGAGCTGACTTTTAGCCAGGTGTCCTCTCCCCTGTGAGTGATAACTGACCCCACAGAGCAGCTGACAGAACTAGGTTAAGAGAGAGTATCAGCCACAGACCTGATATATTCACTATAGACTTACATCACAAAAGCTAAAGCCATCACACCCAGTCACACCCTGATGAGATTCACTAATAATTGCCACAAACAATTGAAGACTGTGAATGAAATCAACAGCAACAACAAAAACATGGGGATTCTTCTGTTTGAATTTTGGAGCCTTCAGATATTCATGCTGCACATTCATTCATGCATTTTTAAAATGGTGATAAGTTGGACATAATGTACATTTAATTATGAATAACCATTAAGTTAATATTTTTTTTTAGTAAAATTGCTTCTTCTAACTGCTCCAAATCCCACTGATGCTTTACAAAACTCTGTGAACGGAATTTAGCAAATGGGTCCTCTAATAAGTGAACAATTTGATTTGGAGTCTACTTTTCTCAGCCCAGCTCCTCCTCCACTCACAAAGCACTTAGATTACATTAAAGTCTATAGAATGTGGTTTGATATCGTAAGTAAAATTAATAGCAACAGGCTCTTCCATTCAGAGACAAAGGAGGAAAAAAAGTCTTGGCTTACCTGAAAACACATCAAGTCGTGTGGCCCCTGCATCTCTAGAAAAAGAAAGCATGACAATATCATTGCTGCATGGTGAAAGTACATTTAAAAATTATATTGATCTAAATTGCTTGTATGAGGGCAAATCTACGGTCAGATGTCAAACAATATAAAAATCTACTTAAATTGCTCCAAAATCAATTACCAAAGTATTTCACTGTACATTTCTATACTATCATTACCGTAATTTGAGAATATTATAAAGAAATCTGAAAGAAGACATAGAATTTAGTGGCAGTTACACACATACACACAAAAAACTCAACAAAATTCATATGAATATGGTATTTTGTTTTCAAAACTGACTGGAGAATAATCCAGAATGATAGAACAATTTTCTGAAGTATTTTCATTTAAAACATTGAAAAGAAAAAGCAAATTACTATGTAATATGTACTATATGGTCACATTTTTTTAATTTTTTATTGATGATTGGTGATTACATAAATTTCACATATTTCACAGTATTGTGGAATAGAGATAGTTAAAGTTACAAACACATTTTAACCTTCACAAGGCAAGTTGTCATTATCATGGTCTATAAAGTTTGTGAATTCTATGAGCCTTGACAATACAACTATTTCTTCCACATCAGGTGATATGTACATTTCTTTCCTTTTGCTTAGTGTAAGCTGTTCCCTCTTTCCCTCTCATTCCCTCCCTCCCTTCACTGCCTCTGAGTTGCTTAGTTCATTTTCCTCTGTGTCCAGTGCAGCTGATAGGCCCCTCTGTTGTGTGTTTTCCTGCTCCCCTCTGATTGTGTCCTTCTCCTAGCTTCCCTCAGATGTGTGCATATATATACCATGTACGTGGTCAAGAACATGGAGTCATTTAGCAATGATACAACAAAATGAGTGAAGTCCTTTGTTTCTCCGGTTCTGTTTACTTTGTCATATCTCCTTGCATTTTGGCTTTAGCACCACATATCAGGGGGACCGTGTGCTGTTTGTCCCTTTGTTCTTGGCTTACCTCTCTCAAAATGATTTGCTCTAGTTTCATCCATTTCCCTGCAAATGCCATTATTTTGTCCTTTCTAATGGCTGCATAATATTCCATTGTATATAGGTACCTCAATTTTGGATTCACTCATCTGTAGTGGATTCATCTGGGTTGTTTCCATATCTTGGCTATTGTGAACATGTGTCCTTGTATCCTGGTTCCTGTTGCTCAGGGTAGATGCCTAGGAGTAGTACGGCTTGGTATAGGGGAGGTCAATATTTAGCTTTCTGAGGTACCTCCAGACTGCTTCCCAAAGTGTTTGTATTAGTATACATTCCCACCAGTAATGCAATAGGGTTCTTCTTTCTCCATATCCCCTCCAGCAATTGTTGTTGGCTGAATTTAGGATGCAGGCCATTCTGACTAGGGTAAGGGGTATCTCAGTGTTGTTTTTATTTGCATTTCCTTTATAGCCAGGGATGAAGAACATTTCCTCATGTGTTTCTTTGCCATTTTTCTATTTTCTTCTGAGACTTCTCTTTAGCTTCCTTGCCCATTTAATGATTGGTTTGTTAGATTTGGGAGAGGTTAGTTTCTTGAGTTTCCTGTATATAATGGGTATTAGGCCCTGGTCTGATATATTGCTGGTAAATTTTTTTCCCAATTAGTTGGCTATCTTTCTAGTTTGTTTGCTATTTCTTTAGCTGTGCAGAAACTTTTTATTTTAAGATAGTCCCATTTATCTAGTCTCTCTTCAATTTGTTGTATATGGTCACATTTTTAATTAATTTTTATTGTTATTATAAGATGTTGTACAGATGGGTTACCACTTCATGACTCAGCTATATAGTCACAAAGAAATCAAAATGTTAAGAGTTTTCTCAAGGTCAGAGGTGGGAAAACTGTGGCTCATGGCCCAACCTGGCTTAGCAACTGTGTTGTAAAAAAAGTTTTATTAGAACCTAGTTATGTCTACGCATTTAAATCATAGCTGCAGTCGAATTAGCACTGTATGGCAGAGTTGAATTAGTTTAACACAGACATAGCCTCCAGAGGTAAAGATATACACTGTCTGGTCTCTTACAGAAAAAAAAAATATGTAGATTCATACTCTACCTGATGAGATTAGCTGTGATATTTTTGCTATTTTTATTTTTCTTGGTTTTCTATAATTCACAGGTATTCTTTTTGTATTTAAATATATATATATATATATTTAAGTAAAAAGGGGCTGCCAATTTACAAAGGTAACTCTGGGAACTGTTCGATGAATTCCATTTCTCCCCTTTCCTCCAATCCTAAGTCAATCCATAATGGGAAGGAGAGAATATAGTCTGCAAGATTAACAAGTATGTGTTCCTTCAGAGTGTTTTGAGACTTCAAGCTCTGGAACCAAAGTAGTCATGACTGTGTATCCTTGCTTCAAGACCATAAGCAGTACCACTTTGCTACAGTACCACTTTAATCTGCAAGAAGCTAACAACAGGTACTCATCTGCCCTGTTTGCACCTTCTGACCTGAGTTCATGTCTTTCTTTTTTTTTTTTTCTTTTTGCCAGTCATGGGGCTTGAACTCTGGGCCTGGGCACTGTCCCTCAGCTCTTCAGCTCAAGGCTAGCACTCTACCACTTGAGCCACAGCACCACTTCTGACTTTTTCTGCTTATGTGGTGCTGAGGAATCAAACCCAGGGCCTCGTGCGTGCGAGGCAAGCACTTTACCACTGAGCCACCTTTCCAGCCCCTCATGTCTTTCTTGACTAATCAACTTTATTCTCTGTCCTCCTCCATCCCTTTCAATGATTCCATTAGTTGAGAAGATTTCTCAAAAGAGGGAGCCCCAGCCACTATATATATGTTTTTCAGTTTGCATTGTCAAGTTTCAATTATTTCTAGTTATTTATTTAGAATCATGAACAGTATGCAGGAGTTACGTGGTGACAATATTACAGATGCATACATACACTGCACTTTGAACAATGTGCTAGCACTTTGTGCTGAGTGCTGGGGAAATCCTGGAGGGCTGCTTGTCTGACTACACCCAGTGGTGGCACTCTCAGAAGGGCCTTTTCCCTTCTGACGTCAAAAACTGGAAGGCAAATGCAAAAAGCTGAAATATTGTGATGAACCAGTGGTAGGGAATTTATGTCCTCACTGAGATCCCTGTTCTAACAACTGGACTGCTGGGCAGAGTTAATAATCTACAGAGAAAGGACAGAAAATCTTCTGCCACAGGGAATTACAAACATAAACCAAGCCCAAATGCCATATTCAATTGAGATAAAATTTTGAGTCCTGAGGCAGGCATAATGGCATGTAATACCAGCGTTTGGGAGGCTGAGTTAGGAGGATCACAAGTTCAAGGCCAACCAGGGCTAGATATCAAGTTTGAGTCAAAGAAAGAAGGGAGAGAGGGAGGAAAGGGCTGAGAAGTTGGCTTAGTGGTAGAGTGCTTGCCTAGCATGCATGAAGCCCTGGGTTCGATTCCTCAGTACCACAAAAAGAGAAAAAGCTGGAAGGGGCGCTGTGGCTCAAGTGGTAGAGTGCTGCTAACCTTGAGCAAAAGATGCTTAGAGGTGGTGCCCAGGCCTGAGTTCAAGCCCCAGGACTAGCAAAAAAAAAAAAAAAAAAAGAGTTGGCTATAACCTCTTTAATGAAAGAGGTTAAACTACAATACCTTTATCAGAGTCAGAAAAAAAATATATAGTACTGGGTTTTTATAGCCAACTGGTCGTTAGAATTCTAGCTCCATCCAACAATAATTGCATAACTTTTTAAAAAATATTTTATTTTTGAATTATCATGCCTTTGTAGTATGAGGGGTTTTTTTTCACTGTGATATTTGCATGTATGCCCACAGTGCCCTATCAACAAATTCACCACCTTTACCTTGTTCACATTTAGTTGCAAAAATTGTACTAGGCCATCAAAATCCCACATGTGTGGAACAGGGATGACAGGCCCCATCTCCCGGTGATGCTGCCCAGACACCAAATGCTCTTGTACACCTGACACATCGTAAGAGGTGAACAATAGTTAGCCACTTTCCTAACTACATAATCTGATTTAATACAGATGTCAATAAATGTTTTAACCCAAAATTAAATTTCTCCAGACACAGGGTACACTGATACAGAACTCATCAGATATTCCAGTGAGCATGCTCTTGATAGGGTTATTAACACAAATAGAAATCCAATAGGTCCCATAGTTTCCCTTATTTGCAATAACTAGTATATGTCTGAAACAAGCAGAAAAGGTCAGATAAGATGATGTTAAGTGAAACGAACCCCAAGATAGGAACACAAGTGGGCTTTTTTTTATTTCTTGCTATTGTTCCTAATGTATTTATAAAGTACCACCTGATTTTTTTTGTTGCTTTGTATGTCCTTCCCCTATGGTATAACCCCTGTTTTCACTGTATTTGATGTTGGTATAATTTGGAGAGGGGAAGGAGAAAAACAAATTGTTTAAATATGGATACAGGTGAACCCACTGCAACGAGATGTACAAAGACACTATGTCAAAAAATGAACTTTACAATATGGGGAGGGGGTACTTATGGAGATGGGAGGGAAGGGATGGTAAGGGAAAAACAAAGGAAGCAATGATGCTTGATAAGAAATGTACTCATTACCTTGCTCATGTAACTGTAACCCCCTGTACAGTATTTTCACAATAAAAAACGTATTTAAAACTTTTTTGAGAAGTGGTGTTGTGGCTCAAGTGGTAGAGTGCTAGCCTTGAGCTGAAGAGCTGAGGGATAGTGCCCAGGCCCAGAGTTCAAGCCCCATGACCCACAAAAACAAACAAACAAACAAAAAACTTGTTTTTTGGGGCTGGGAAGGTGGCTCAGTGGTAGAGCGCTTGCCTTGCATGCTCGAGGCCCTGGGTTCTATTCCTCAGCACCACATAAGCAAAAAGAAAAAATCCAGAAGTGGCGCTGTGGCTCAAGTGGTAAAGCGCTAGCCTTGAGCTGAAGAGCTGAGGGACAGCGCCCAGGCCCAGAATTCAGGCCCCACTACCAGACCCCCCCAAAAAAAAACCTTTTTTGATAATAAATAGAAATTAAATAAAGGTCAATAGTTCCTTCTCTCCTGTGTTCTGGTCCCAGAGAATGTTAATTTCATATGAAGAGAAGTCACAGAACATTCCAAATTGGGGGAAAGGGGCATACATTGGGGAGAAATCATTATATTGTAATTTTCATATGCAACCAGAGTAGGTTTGTATTGTGAAATTCCATCAACAACGTGTGTGCTCAGAGAAACCTACCTTGCATTGTCCAGCAGTTCAGCAAGAGCTCCAAAGAGGAAACTGTGTGTCGTGCTGATGAGGAAGTAAAGGGAAAACACAAAGTCAGTGGAGGGATATAAAAGGTTCCAGATACCTGCCGACAAATGCTCCTCCATCCTAGCCAGATAATCAATTAGCAAGGCATTCTAGAAACGACTTGCCCAGCACGATCAAGATTCTGAAGTAGATGCTCTGTATTACAAAGCCAGGGGTAAGAACACGTTTTGCCAAAGTACCCTGTCAATTCCTGATAAAGCACAAAGTTCAGGGAGTGAGAGAAAACTCTGACCTTTCCAATTTGCTTTTGAAGGATGTATTCAAGTAGTTTTCTAGATAATTTTTCATTAAAATCACATTACATAAGATGTAATTAGGAAGTGGCACTGTGGCTCAAGTGGTAGAGCACTGGCCTTGAGCTGAAGAGCTGAGGGACAGCGCCCAGGCCCTGAGTTTAAGCCCATGACCAAAAAAAAAAAAGATGTAATTATACCTGGGGAAAATGGCAGAAAACCCTACTCTACCAAGAGATCATGGGGGTCCACTTGTAGATGCAGGGATTTAGTGGTGGGGGGGGGAAGAACACATTATTTATTTCTGTTGAAAATTTCCAGCTCTGAAAAGTTAGTCCTTAAAGAATCTACTTGATTACCCTCAGCTTCTCTCTCTTGTGCCTATCAACACTGAGTAGTGGGAATCAGATGCTATGGGCAGCTGTGGGCAGCTGTGGACAAGGCCCTGAGCTCCATCACAATAAATACACACACACACACACACACACACACACAAATCACTCCTGCCAGGTGTAAGTGACAAACATCTGTAATCTCAGGAGGATAGCAAGTTGAAGGACAGTCTGGGCTTACATAATGAGACCCTGTGTCATACAACAAAAAATAAACCAAAAATTCAATCCCCCTTCTCTTTTGTTTTACTGTGTCTGACTTAAATACATCTGTCTGTTTTCCTGATGTTGATGATTGCCCCATCCATTTTTTTTTTTTGTCTGTTTTCTCCTTCCTTCACCTCCCATCCATCTGGCAGATAGAGCTGGGATTGTTATGGTGATACTCTTTTTTTGGGGGGGTGAGGGTGGGGGTCTAGTCGTGGGGCCTTAATTCTGGGCCTGCACGCTGTCCCTCAGCTCTTCAGCTCAAGGCTAGCGCTCTACCACTTGAGCCACAGTACCACTTCGGGCTTTTTTCTTTTTTGCTATGTGGTGCTGAGGAATTGAACCCAGGGCCTCAAGCATGCAAGGCAAGCGCTCTACCACTGAGCCACCTTCCCAGCCCTGGTGATACTCTTAATGCTGACACAAGGGTAGTCTTCAGCAATGCTTGTTTTGGTAGTGACTTAAAGGGTGGAATGAAGCCAATATCAACCCCTATTTTTATGGATTAAAGTCTTCAACAGACATCACCCAGGGGAGCTGAGGAGATGTTAGCTGGCATCTGATTTTGTTGCTCCTCTTCATGCTGCTGTCAGTTTTCTTATTATCATTTGACAACTGCAAAGGGACTGGAAGAATGGGTACCACAGAAGAGACTGTCAGAGAGGGAAACTGTGAAGTCATAGCAGCAGAAAATATGCAAAACTGAGACTGGGGAGCTTTTCCAACATAAAATTCACCGCCTCAGTACTGGATTTATAATAATTTCCCTTAGACTCATTCAAAACTGCCATGTCCTCATTTATCTCCCACCTCAGTTACCTTTAAACTAGCTTTCCCACCTTTTCCAGCTCGAAATGATTCTCCATAGAAAGATTAAAAATAAACTATTTCATTTCTGCTATTGTAAGACTGTAAGCTAGTCCCATGCTGCAAGGTGGGCCTCGCCAGGCTTTCTTCACACCGCCATTTCAGTAGTTTCAAATGTGCTATTTCTTGCTATTACAAATTACCAAGCAAGCCAGGACTGAGGAGCTCACACCTGTACCCACACCTGTAATCACACCTGTAGTTACCTCAGGAGGTTGAGAGCTGAGGGTTGAAGTTTCAAGCCACCCTGGACTCTTATCTCCACCAAAATACCAAAACAAAAACAAAAAAAAGGCTGGAAGTGGAACTGTGGCTCAAGTGATAAAGTGCTAGCCTTTGAGCAAAAGCATTTCAGGAAACGCACGTAGGCCCTGAGTTCAAGCCCCAGAACCAGAACCAAAACATAAATAAGCCATTATAAACCATCATTAGCAAATAACACAGAGAAGGGGCTGGGAAGGTGGCTCAGTGGTAGAGCGCATGCCTTGCATGCCAGAGGCCTGGGTTCGATTCCTCAGCACCACATAAGCAAAAAGAAAAAAGCCGGAAGTGGCGCTGTGGCTCAAGTGGTAGAGCGCTAGCCTTGAGCTGAAGAGCTGAGGACAGCGCCCAGGCCCAGAGTTCAGGCCCCATGACTGGACCCAAAAAAAAAAAAAAAAAGAAACAAGTAACACAGAGAAGACTCATTGACAGATGACAAATGTCATCTGCTTGTGCCATCTGGCACAGCAGTCTACCCTCCTCCGTGGTTTCCCTTTCTGAGGCCTCAGTTGCCCTAAGTCAATCTTGCTCTAAAAGATGTTAAGTGGCAAGTACCACAGAGAAGCAATTCACAATTTAAATTGTGCGCCTTTCTGAGTAACATGATGAAAACTTGGTTGTCCTCAGTGCTGTTTTAGGATCATGGTCCATCTTCTCTTGCGCTCGATGTGAAAATGACTTGTCTCAGAGATATGACTTGTCTCAGAGATACGAGCATATAGGGCAATCTACAGATAAGAGAGACGGTCCTCAACTCCAGACACCCTGGGATAGTGGCCAGTGTCTCCTGTGCATAAGGTGGGACTACTCTGTTTGAAATAGCACCTAGGAGTGCAGAAAGTCCTCTGGGCCTGGAGGGGAAGAAAAGAGTGCCTTTCACCACTGACACGGAGATCCACGTCCTCAGAGATGATACACCTTCGCAAAGTGAGAGAGGCCAAAACCCGGGGATGCACACGGGTGCCTGGGGGGCCGCGGGAGCCCTTTCCCGTGGGCAGGCTGGGAAGAGGCCTGCGTGCGTGCGCTCAGCCGTGCGCTCAGGCGCGCGTCGCCCGTGGACATGGTGCCAGGCCTGTCACCCGGGCTGCCCCGGTGCCTCGTGTACACTGCCCGTGGGCGCGGTGGAAGGTGAGCTGCGCAGCTGCGCGTGGGGACGGGACGGACACACGGGGCGAGGGGGAGCCAGGGGGTCCCCCGGTCCCCCAAGACCCGTCCTCAGCGCCCGGCTCAGGCTGCCACCCACCCCACCCAAGCCCTCCGGGACACTCACGAGTTGGCATGGATGAAGTCCAGGTGCAGCCGGGCCCGCTGAAGCGCAGCATACTTAACCATGTCCTCCAAGGCGACCTGCGGGGTCCCCGGGTGTGTGTGGGGTGGGGGGGGGACGAGCACGTGACCCGCCCGCGTCTGCCCACACCCACGCCCGCCCACGCCCACGCCCTGCTCCCAGGCGCCCCCTGGCGGCCGCAGCGCGAAACGCAACCGGCGGCGCTGTCCATCCAGGTCGTTTGATTCGGCCCCGTGGGGTCCCCCCAGCTTGAGGGTAGCTACTTGTGAGCTGGATTCTGTTTGGGAAACTGAGGCTTGCGCAGCTGTCCCACTCACTCTCCCTGACCCTTGCAACCACTCCACAGCCGGGAAATGTGGAATTGGCATTGGAGCAGAAATGGCTTCTCCCACAGAGGGGAGAGGAGAAGAAGGGGGTGGGGGAGAAGAGGGAGGAGAGGGCGGGGAGGGGAGGGGAGAAAAGTGGAGGGAGGGAGGGAAGGAGTAGGGGAAGGAGAAATGATGGAAGAGGGGGAAGAGATGTGGGAGAGAGATCTGTTCTGCATGTCAGAAAAATGTACAGTATATGTAGTTTCTAGATGGATGTGTGGGCAACTTGCTTTACTCTCCTGTATCTCAAGCACTATTACGTTTTCTTCATTTGGAGGAACAAACTGAAGGCAATTAGGACAGAGTATGTACTTAGCTATAAACTGGACTCATGTCCTCTCTGAGAACAACTGTTTACACTTGGATGGGTCACACAGCCACACAGACATTTTGCTGGCTCTGGGGCTCAAATACTCTGGGTCTGGGCACTGCCCCTGAGCTCCTTTTTGCCCAAGGCTAGCACTCTACCACTTGAGCCACAGCACTATATCCAGCTTTTTCCGAGTAGTTAACTGGAGATAAAAAGTCTTAAAGACTTTGCTCCCTGGGCTGGCTTTAAAAGTCAGTCCTCAGATCTCAGCCTCCTGAGTAACCAGGCTTACAGGCATGAGCCACTGACTCCTCGTGGGTCACTAATAGTTTTTACATATCTTGCTGACATGAAGCTCCTTGACATGCTGGCCAAGGTCAAGAACTTGATGTTCTGAACTTCTCAAGAAGTAGGATTAGACAGGTGGTAAGTAGAAAAGTAGGAGTAGGGAATAAATGGTAGGAAAAGCTATGTAAACCATGGTGATTCTGTTCATTATACTCTCAAAACAATGAATTCTGAGTCACTGGAGCCCAAGCTAAGACAGGATTTGACAAGGAGGTGGCGTGGAAAGGTCCCAATTAGTATGGAAAATCAGTTGATCTATTTGACCTGTAAGAAGTAGTCAAATCTAGGTACTGCTGACTTAGCTACTCAGGAGGATGAGATCTGAGGATTGTGATTCAAGACCAGCCCTGGCAAGAAAGTTCTGTGAGACTCTTATCTCCATTTAACCACCAGAAAACCCTAAGTGGATCAAAGTGGTAGAGTGTTAGCTTTGAGTTCAGGGATAGTGCCCAGGCCCTGAGTTCAAGTCCTATAACTTACCAAAAAAAATTTTTTTAAGTAGTTAGATTCTGATACAATGCCTAGTACTATTTGACTTGGAAACTACAACTATTTGATCAATACTTGTGCATCCAATCTTAAAATCAGAAAGAAGCATCCATATTGAACAGACAACTTGAACTAGATTTGTTTGAGATTTCCAGGCATTGTATAAGCAATACTGCTCTCAGAAAAGGGGGAAAAAAAGTTAAATTTAGAGTCATCGCTCAACTTCAGAACAGAGGGATTTATCAGCTACTACATTTATAGGAGTCAGGAGAGGAAGAAGGAATTTGAATGGCCAC